TGCAGGAGAAATTTCGGGGTAAGTGGGCTGCTCTAGGTCCCAGATTTATTGCCACTCAACTCGAAGTTGCAGATGGGTCTGGAGGTGCCGTGGCCTCCGTGCCCTCCAGCCGTTCCTGCTGAAGATGGCTACGACCTGCCCACTTGAGACCTGACTGCAGCCCCCACTGCTCAGGCCACTGGATGGGGAGGAACAGCCACTGAGTGGTCTCACACTGATCCTTCACGTACTCTTAAACAGAAAATGGAAATACGGTTGATGGAAAATAAAATTTCTTAAAAAAAAACAAAAACCTGTGAATAAAAATAGTTGGCCTGAGCCTCAAAAAAGCAGGCAGCTTGGTATGGTGTTAAGGAACAGGTACAGAGTTAGACAAATTGTAGTTCAGGTCTTTGTTCTGCCACTTACTTCTTGTAGAAATCCCGGCAGATTATCTAACCTTCTGCAATATCAGCCTCATCTGTAAAACATAAGGTCCGTGAGGGCAGGGACCATGTTTGTGTTGATCACTGTTACATAACCAGTGCCTAACAAGCCTGGCATTGAGGCACTTGGTGCCAAATCAAACAGGGTATGGGAAGAGTGTACTGAGAAAGAAAAACAGAGCAGCCCCTGACATTCAGAAGCTGGCCTATACTCACAGGTAGCCCACATCATTCTCCTGTTAGACATAAACAATTTAACAGAATATCAACCCCAGACAAGGTTCCTCTGAGACCATGATAACATGAGCCAAAGCAAAGCCACTGCATGATTTTTTTTTCTAAGCGTGGATAAATACAAGGTCACTGTGCCACCCACAAAATACCAAACACTCCCTCTCAGCCAAAAATGAGTGATGGATACTTCTTTACTAATTGCTGCTACATTCTTTTGCCTCTCTTCCTATACATAAGATTTATGGAGCTATCCAATCATAGACTTGCCTCTGCTTTTGACAGCATCCAATTTAGAGCAAACCTCTGCTTCTTAGACCATCCGTCCCCAAGCCACCCAACCAAAGCCCATATTCTATGATGGGCTTTTTTCTAGCACCCTCTTACTGAGATACTCCATGATTCCTCATGGTATGTTTGCATTCACTTAAATGAATAACAAACACAATCTGTTTAACTACAGTTGTATTCCTAGTGGTATTTGGCTCACCAGAAATGATAATGTGAATGGAAAAAATGAGAAAATAAACACTGTCTCTTCAGAGTGGTTGTGTCAAATCGATAATTAATTTACCAACATATATTGAGGGTCTGTTTTGTGCTAGGTGAAAGGAATACTGAGAAGAACAAGACCTGGACGGCTCTCCCGGAGCTTAAACCTGTGGACAATGCAAAGAGCAAATTTGTGATCCAATTTAATGTGGCTAGCTAGCATTATTATAGAGGCATGCACCTCCTGTAAAAATATTGTCAGATCATACCTGAAGGAGGTATGTTTTTAGACTTGCAACCTTCATAACTGTAAGATGATAAATTTGCATTGTTTTAAGGCACACATTTTGTGATAATTCATTATAGTAGCAATAGGAAACTCGTACAGCATGCTTAAGCTTAATCTTTAAGGGGGAGTGTCCCAGGCATAAGCAAAGGCAGATTAGTTCCTGCAGGACCTGACAGTTGTTTGTGTGGCTGAGTGCTTAAGAGTATGACAGGGTATGCCAAGGTCAGATCCTGAAAGATCTTTCTATTCAGAGAAATTGGAAATAATCCAGAAGATCAGAGACCACTGAAGGATTAAAACAGGGGAGTGTGACAAAATTACATTTGCATTTTAGAAGGATGGGTTGGAATCCTGAAGTAAGAAGAAGGGATTGGAGACTAAGTACCCTAGGCAAGAAATGGGAGGCCTTCTTTGATCACCTTCTGTAAGATGACCTTGCTTATTTCTTGAAATTTGGAGAAGACATAAAAAATATGGTCATGATCTTCAAATATTTGAAATTCTGCCAATCAGGGTGATTAGACATGGTCTGAGTTGCTCTAAGATCAAAGTGTAAAGTCTTCAAAAAATATTAAGTGCACTATGAGAAAGCACATTCTAATTACAGTGATCAAAAAATGACTCCACAAATAATTATTTCTTACATTTCTTTCTTTCATCTATCCAAAAAATATTCATTTGAGCAGTTATCATTAAGCATATGATGGTGAGCAAAAGGGACAAAGGCACTGCTCTCGATGGAGTTTAATTTCTTTGTGCAGTGTGGAATTGTTTACAGATAACTTTTATATAATTTAACCAATAAGTAAGCTCCCAATAGGGACAGCTGAAAAGTGGTGTTATATACATGTGCGAGGCAGGCTTGCAGTGAATTCTGGCAAGGGAAAATCGGCACGATGTAAGCCTCAGGCACCATAATACTAGAGCCCCAGTCTTCTCTCCCCATCCCTCCCACCGGCCAGGCCCCCCGCCCCGCCCCTCACGCGGCTCAGCCCCGCCCCTCGCCCAGCCCCGTCCCACCCCTATCTCTCACCAGTGCCCTCCCCTTCTTCCGTTCCCACCCGCCGCTTTAAGTCGCGTCTCTCAGCCCGCGGGATTTCGAGCCTTTCTCTCGCGAGGTTTTTGCAGTACCGGAGTCAGCTGTGGGGGCTGCTTGCGGGGTGAGAAGAGGTGGTTCTGTCGCGGTTTTCCAGAAAGCCTGCGCCAAGCTCAGAGGCGTTAAGTAGGTTCTGGGGTCTAAGACTCGGGCTGCAGTCGCGCGGGGTCCCCAAGGAAAGAGGGAGCCGGACTCTCGGTCTCGGGCCGACCTCGGGCCGCGTGCGTGCAGCGTGTGCGCCGCGGGCCAGCAGCCGGCGTGAGGTCTCACCGGCGGGGTGCGGGGTGCGGGGTGCCGGTCGGGGTGGGTGATCCGCAGGCGTGTTGACACTGCCCGTTGGCTCCTGCAGTGCGGGTTTGAGGTACTCCAGACGCCGGGGTGAGGGTGGGGGTGTGCGGGGCGGCCTCAGTCCCGTCTGGCCCACCTGGAGTTCGCCCTGGTTGGCGGCCAGGTTATTGGCTCTAAGGTCTTGTAGTTGCAAACTCTGGAATGCGCTTGGTTCAGCTATTAACGGAGTCAGTTCGTCACAAGGTACCACATCGAATTGGTTTTTCTTGTTTGCTGCTTTACGGGGCTTGGCTGCCTCATTCAGAGAGGCATAAGAAAGATTTGTATAAAGAGGTGACTAGACAAATGTCTTAAATCTCAGTATTCTCTCTCATTTTTAAGTCAAAGTATACAGAAAAATGGAGTATATGACAGAATCTGTCACCTGCACACCTGGACACATGTAAGTTGCGTCCCTTTTACCCCATTCCCCTTAAATTTAAAAATGTTAACGTGAGTCTTTGAAACTTGTGGGGAAAATCGTTTCTTTTGATGGGCAGATTCTTTTGTCTTAAATGGGAAAAATGAAAAGCCTTATTTCCTGAGAAAATCGAATTCATTTTCCCCTGCAAAGTTTGTTGTAGTAAATACTGCTTTAAGAGTATTAAAATCTTCACTATACATAATTCTAGATTGCTATAATAGCCATTGGCCATATGTAGCTTTTTAAATTTAATTAAAGTGAAAATAAAATTAAACATTCAATTCCTTGGTCTACTACCCACATGTCAAGTCCTCGACAGTGCATATGCCTGGTGGCTGCTATATTGGACAACATAGACCTTAGAACATTTCTTTTGGGTAACATCAGTTATTCTTAAACATTTTCTGTCCCCAGTGCACTTAGGTTTATGAAACTCCCATCTTTTGTACTGCATCACTAAACATGATACCTTTCCATCCTTTAAAATATTTTCTGCTCTGGGTAAATGTGTTACATTTTGGCAGTCCCTGTGCTATACTGAGGCCTTAAAAGAATTGCCTTTGAACTATAAAGCAGTCTAATGATTATTGTTAGAAATGATTTAGACTCTTTAGATCCTTTGTACCGAATTATATTTTGGGGATTTTTGAAATTGTGGCCATCCTTGTTTTTTGCCTCACTATTCCAAGGTTATTTTTTAATCTACTGTATCTTTGAAGATTGCTCTAAGTTAGTTTTTTTTTAAAAGGCAGAGATATTATAGCCTAACTTGAAGGCTTTTGTTTGTTTCATAGTTTTTTAATTTAGCTAGTACACTTATGAAATCTCATTTGAAAAACGTATGCTTTATTTATTTTAGCTTGTGCTGCGATTGTGGTGTCCCAATTAGTCCAAATCCTGCCAATATTTGTGTGGCCTGTCTGCGAAGTAAAGTAGATATCAGCCAAGGCATTCCAAAACAAGTGTCTATATCTTTCTGCAAACAATGCCAAAGGTATGTAGTACTATTTTTATCCTATTTAAAGTTGAGATTTATATATAGGAGAACCACTAGGATATGCTGAGATTACACTAAGATACATGGAATAAAGTGCATGTAATTGAGATTTACATTTTATTTATGTTGGCATAGCTAGAGATTTTAGAATGTGCAATTTTGTAGCGTACTCTTGTAGTTTGCCCTGCTACAAAGGTATTTGTATCTGTTCTTTCTCTGTTAAGGGATTAATAGGTTTGATGTATACAGTTAATTGATACAAGTTGATGTTTTTAAAGGTGACAGCAGATTTTAAAGACATTAATGTTAATTACCATGATGCTTTTATTTTTCCCTTCAATCACAAGAAGCCATGTATGATAAAAGGCACCTTATTTTTAAAGTAAGTTACCAATGTGTTTTAAAAATTGTATCTATTGATGTTCCCATGTAACTAAAATGACTATAGTTAATGGAAAAAAAGGTCAGTGTATCATATCTAGGATGATCTGAAATGAAGACTGGATTTGAAGGCAGATTTCTTCTGAAAGTTAATGTTTTATTTCTTCTTTATTTTCTTTAGTTGACAGTCTAACATAAGCCTTTTTAAAGAATGGAATGAATTGCTTTATTGTGATATTCTTAGTTACCAGTATGAGAAACTGGCTCAAGCTTAGTTAGGAGAAAGGAATTTGTGACGTGCTTCTGGTAGGACCCAAAATCCCTAGGAAAGTGGAGGACAAGAGTCAGGGCCATACAGCCAGGAACACCACCCAGAATTACACAGCAGAGACAACTCATCCAGTCAAAAACCACACAGACATCACTCTCACAGGATACACACTGCAGCCTGCGCTGTAGTCACCACTGTTACACACAGCTGCTGGTACTGCAGTCGCTGCCTCCCTAGGCCTTTGAGTAATACAGAACTTCCCAGTGTAACTTCCCAGAAAATTGTATTCCTGTGATTTCCCAAATGGGTTAGGACTGTAGTGGTTCTTAACTTTTTTGGAAAGGTTTGTGAATCCCTTTAAGAATTTGAAAACTGCATCTCCCCAGAAAAATGCATGAAACATGTACATATGTACAAACACAAGAAACTTGTGTATTGTTTCAGGGAGTTAATTATATACAAGCTTATGTATGCTTATTCAAATTTGGCAGGTGTGAGGCTTAATCTTTAACAAATATTTACAAGAGTGTAATAGAGTGAAAAAAACATTGGACGAACAATCTGGAGACCTAGATCGTCTTGAATTTCTCACAAACTAGCTCTTTGAGACTCTTGGCCACTTACCTTTTCTAAGCTTTTATTTCTTCATCAGAATGAAGGGGCTTTATTAGATAATATATGAAGTCATTTCTAACTCCAAATACATGCTTGTAACAAAGAAATCTGTATAAGGTTTTTCAGTGAACCTTTAAAAATGAAAATCAGAATATTTAATTAATAGGTAGGCCAAAAGGGAAAAAAAGCATTCACAAATGTATCAAAACACATTAGAAGTATTGTTATTTAACAAACATGTTGAGCACTTACTGTGTATTAGACACTGTTTTAAGTCCTGGGCTGGCTGGGCTAAAAAACTTACAGTACATGCATTAGGAATTTAAATTTTGATTTTAGTCAAGTTTTATGTAAGATTTTATTTTATTTTACTTTTTTATTAATAGTCATTTTACAATGTTGTGTTTATGTAAGATTTTAAAACTTCAGTTTTATAATTTAAAATTTGGAAAGGGACTTGAAATAGATAAATAGTTTGAACTATATTGATACATAGTATTAGGTACTAATTTACCTCTTTTCTGTGTGAGAAATAAGCAGTTTTTAAGTATTTTACATGTACATTATAAACCATTTTAATGCTATTTTCAAGGAAGTGTTGGGCATTTTGTCATCCTCACTGGAATTCTTATTGGTGCTTGAAGTAATAAGACCTTTTAATGAGTTGTTTCAAATTGACTTTCTCAAATACTCAGATTTTACCTTTTTAATTAAAGCTATTGGTTTAACTGAAAGTTTTCTAGAACTATTAAAATATGTTTGGGTTAAATGCTTCAGATCAACCTTGAATATTATTATATCTGGTTAATAATCATTGTTATGTCTATATATTCAGATGGAATTTTTTTTTATTTCTGAGAGATACTGGGTTTCAATATATTATCTTTTCTCTCAGATATTTCCAGCCACCAGGAACTTGGATACAGTGTGCGTTAGAATCCAGGGAACTTCTTGCTTTGTGTTTGAAAAAAATCAAAGCCCCTCTGAGTAAGGTAGGTCAAATAGCTAAAATCAGTTTTTGTTGGGGTTTGTGTGTTTTAATCTCTCATTTTCAGAAAACCGTTGTTTGAGTAGATTTTCCAAAATAACTTAAATGCTACTATTGGTAAGCATGCTACTACAAATGCTATTTTCATTTTTAAAGTTATATATATTCTCTTCTTACGGAAATGAAAATCTTTTTGCTTTAAAAGATTTAGTTTAGAATCAAATTTTTTCATTCATTATTTAATGAGAACCTCTTACGTGCAGTAATTTTGTCTGAAAATATATAAAGCCATTGCTCAATGTAATTTAAGAGGTTATAGTATTAGGACTGTGGTATTCTGTTTTTTAAAATTTTTCATTACTGCTCTGGAAAAAAAAATTTATGCCTATTACTTAAAGTTGGTGCACAAATGTCTCCCCCCAAAAATAGGGTTTGTTAGTCTAGTTAACCTCTCTACATAACACTTTCAATTTTACTTCTTTTTTCTTTAATAGAGGTACTGGGAATAGAACCTAGGACCTCGTGCATGCTGAACATGTACTTTACCATTGAGCTATTACCCTCCCCCACTGTTCTCTTTATGTTAAACTTGGTGGGCTCTTGATGGACTCTTGGTTTGAAGGCCTTCAGATTCTCTTAAATACTGATAGTAATAGTTCTTCAAAATTTCTCCCTTTATTTTCCTTTTTTTTTTTCCTCCCTGGAATTTGTATCAGTCATTGGCCCTACTGGCTTAAAACTTTGCCTTTTTGCACTTGTATTGTTTTTAATCTTTCTGTGTTTTCCTGTATTCCTGGCAATTTACTTTATTTTCCAATTTTTGTCTTCCTTTTTTTTTTTAAAGTTAGTAACATTTTAAGTTTAGAGTTTTTAATGTCTTTGATGCAGTCTATTGAATTTTTCTAAAAGTTTGATAATGGATTGTTACTGTTTTTTACTTTCTTTCTGTTAACTGATTTTTCTCAGTTTTTTGGATTCAGTTTTTTATGTAACTTGGTATTTTGCTTCCATACTTCAGGCTATTGTCAAATGTTATTAATAATTCACTAGCATTCAGCAGATGTTCATTAAATGTCAGCTCTGTGCCAGTCTGTTTTTGGTGATTAGGAATAGTACAGTGAATAAGAGAGAAAAATCTCAGTCTTAGGGAACTTTTATTTTAGTTGGAGGGAAGGGTGTGGCGTAGGCAATGAACAAAATAAGTAGGTATATTAAAAAGTGTAAATTCTGTGGAGGAAAAAACCAGGAAGGGAATAAGAACTGTACAGGGAAAAGTTGGAATTTGGAATACAGTGGTTAGGGGAGGCCTCATCGATAGGGTGACATTTGAGTAAACATTAAAGGCAGTAAGGGAGGGAGCTGCAATCTGGAGGAGAACATTATGGAGAAAACAAATATAGTGGCCAGAGGCAGGAGCATACCTATGTGGTTAGAGTGGAGTGGGGAAGGAAAAGTAATTGGGGATGAGGCCAGAGAAATGATGGAAAGTCAGAGTAGGTCAGGCCTTAGGCCTTGTAGACCCTTTGAAGACTGATTTTTACTCTGAGTATAATAGGTATAGAGGGCATAGGCAGAATAGTAAAATGAATGATTTACAGTTTATCCGGTTCCCCCTGGGTGTGTTTAGAATAGATGTGACGGGGGTGGGCACCTTTAGGAAGCGATTGTAATAATTGTGAGAAATGATGGTATTTGGATCAGTAGTGGAGGTGGTGAGAAGCGGACAGATTCTGGATGTTTTATAGATAGTCGTTAGAATTACTGATGAAGCTGGACGTATGTTTATGAGTTGGAAGAGTCAGGGATGACTTCCATGGTTCTTGACTTGAGCAACCAGAAAGAGGGAGTTGCTGTTAGCGAAGTAGGAAAGGCTTCAAGAGGAGCAGGTCAGGTGGGAGAGATAAAAGCTCATCTCAGAGTGGTACTTAGGTGTCTGTTAGACATGGAAGTAGAAATACTGAGTGAGGAGCTGGATAAATAAGGAAGGGAGTGGCCCAGACTGGAGATAATGAATTTGGGATATAGATGGTATTTAAAGCTATGAAATTGGAAGAGATTTTCTAGGGATTTTTATATAGAGAAGGGGAGGAATTTGAGTACTGAATCCTGGGATCCTTTAATGATAAAAGTTTGGGACGGTGAGGAAAAAAATCAGACATTACTTCTCATCAGCTGTAGGGAGAGCAATTGATATAATCAGGAGAGCTAGAAGGTGAAGGGAATGTTCAGCAAAGAGACTGAGGGTTTAGGAGATTTGTTAGTGAGTGTGGAGCTCCAGAGGCCGTAGTAAAAAAGTTTCAGGATTTGGGGAACAGTGTTAGGTGGACAGAAAAGGGAATATGTGGAACCACATGGAGATCAGAGTGGGAGATGAGGGGGTGACTGAAGTGTCTGAGACAGTAGTGAAGGATAAAGGGCTCAATAAGGTGGATAAGTCCTGTTGTCTGAGGACAGATGGTGTGGTCAGGCTGTGTTGGGGGATGGTGAAGTAGATGACAAGAGTCCTCCCTCTATTCCTGCAGATGGAAGTTGGAGGCTGAGGGAAGGGCAGTCTTAGACAGTGCCCATGGAGTTTCCTTTTGACCCCTGCCTGCAGGTGGAGGCTGAGGGAATAAGAAGCTGTCTGTCACCCTCTGTACCTGGTGTGGCTTGTTGATTACTAGGCTTTGCTTTAGGGGAGCCAGACATATGAGGAGGGTTTTACTCTGCTGAGCCGGATCTGCACTCAGACAGGTTCTCACCAGACAGGTCTTAAGAAAATTATCATCTACCTGCTGTTGTCCCCTAAATCTGTTATCTGTAGCTCAGATTTCTCCATAGAGCTCCAGATCAAATATATATCTTACTATCCACTGAACAACCTCACTTGGATATCTCAGATAAATCCTCTTAAACTAAATGTGTGAAATCAAATACGACATGTTCTTCCCATTTAATCTGTTTTTTATTTGTGTCAGAAAAATAGTGTTACATAGATGCCCAAGTTGAATACTTGAGCGTCATTCTAGAATCTTTTTCTCCTTTCCACATCTGGTTATTATTAAATCCTCCAGATTTTATATCCTAAATAGGTCTTGGATCTTTCTGCTTCTATTACTTGCAGCCCCTCTCAGTTCAGCTCATCTACGACTCCTGCCCAAATTACTGAAACAACCTCCAGTTTTGTTCTGCTTCTTTCCTCAAAACACCCATTTTAATCATTGAGCTACATTCTGTTCCTCACTTACGGCAAACTGTTTTTGGCCTCTGCTGACTCTTCTGATTTAGCAGTGAGTTATCGTTATGAATTCAGTATTCAGTGCATGAGACTCCCTCTAATGAAAGTTGATTCTTTTTTTTTTTTAAAGCCACATACTTAATATAGAGAGAATAATAGAGGTAGAACTTTTGTTCATGAGATTTCTAGTAGATGATGAGGTCATCAGGTCTTTGTTTTCTATTCAAGACTGTAATTTATACTCCAAAAACGGTACATTGTTTTTAGGGGAAAGGAGTTTTCTATGCAAGTATTATAGTTTTTGCTTGTATTATACCAGTTGCATTAATATATCATGAGATTTTCCTTTTATTTGCTGTTTTTGTTGCCATACCTCTGATGATAAATCTTAAATCTTTTTTTTTAGCTGATAATGTTGGGTAGATTAACGACAGATTGCTTGAGAATCTTTTGAAATCTGTTCATTACTGAATTATTCGTTCATCTTTTTTCTCCTCATTTGGGAACTTATGTTTTTTTGTGTTTTATTGAAGGTGCGGCTTGTAGATGCAAGTTTTGTTTGGACTGAACCCCATTCCAAGAGACTTAAAGTTAAACTAACTATTCAGAAAGAGGTAAGCTATGCATAATTTTCTCAGCATGGTTAAAGTGTAAATGAGGGCCTGTTGGGAAGTTACATTGTGGCTTGAATAGCTAAAAAGGAAACGGATATACTCTTTTTTTTTTTTAACAGATACACTCTTAATTTTAGCCTTTTGTTTTCTTTTGGATCATCTGCACAGATTATCATGTCACAAGTGAAAGAAACCATTGTTCATGAGTAGTAGGCTGAGATAATCTTCTTAAAATTATTTTTATTTGAAGTAAGATTGAAGTAAAAACATGAGCTAAGGCAGTGCTTCTCAAACTTGGCTGATTATCATGACTCAGGGTGCCTGAATGAAACTGGATTCAACTAGATGTAAGATCCAGGAATCTGTAAAGCTTTCCTGGTGATTTCTGATGATTGACTGTGTTTGAGAACAATTAAATTAAGGAATGTTTTCTTTTTTTGAGAGTTTTCATGTCTTCTAAGGATAAATTTTATACACACACATGCAAACACACATATATATAGCTATAAAAATTCTTCAAGGAATATTCTTGCAACCACTTCACCTAAAGGTAAATTTGAAATGTTAATCTAATAAATCCTATGAATTAAACCTACGTATCTTTCCTGAAATAGTATAATTTATGGCTTTAAGTATAACTTTTATTGTTGATGTCCTCAAAGCTATTATGGAAAAAGACTTTAAGTTCAGTGTTAAAGGATCATCTTTTAAGGAAAGTATTTGTTATTAAATAGAAAGGAAAGAATGAAGGAGTGTGATTGTTTTCTTTATCAGGTAATGAATGGTGCTATCCTTCAGCAAGTGTTTGTGGTGGATTATGTTGTTCAGCCCCAAATGTGTGGAGACTGCCATAGAGTAGAAGCTAAGGATTTCTGGAAGGCTGTGGTTCAAGTGAGGCAAAAGGTAATAAGAGGAAGATCATGCGTGAATCTTTCATGTTGTATTTTATCTTTGCCAGTTACAAATAGAGAGTAAAACTTCCTCCTTTCTCTTCTATCCAAATCCTTCAGGCACCAGGGATATTCCAGGTCCCTGGGGCATTCACCTTTAGAAACATATCACTACTATACTTTAGATAATCTTTAAAGATTGTTTTTGTTTTAAAAATCAATGTGCTATATCTATAGATGGCTTTTTTTCCCTTTTGTTTATTAATCTAATAATACATTTATGTTTAGACTTTGCACAAAAAAACTTTCTACTACCTGGAACAGTTGATTTTGAAATATGGGATGCACCAGAATACACTTCGTATCAAAGAGATTCATGGTGAGTTAAAATGTAAAAGCATTTGAAACAATGTCAGAGTTTATTTCAACTATCCCAAGGAGTCTTTTATCTTTACTGATAATATCTGGAATAGTACTGTCCAAAAAGAACTTTCTGTTAGGAAGAAAAAAATCTTAGTGCTTTAGATGCAACCAGTATGGGAGCCACTAGCCATATATGGCTTTTGGATATTTTGAAATGTGGTTGGTGCAACTGAGGAACTAAATTTTTTAATTTTTTTCTATTTTAATTTAAATTTCTGCTAAATAGCTACCAGATGAGTAAACCAGTAACTAAATTAATAGGATTTAAAGTGGTATGATAGAAATTCATCAAAAACGTATTTTATGCAGAGATCAGTTTCTGATTGGAAGAAAATTATTTTTGAGATCTGTAAGTTGCAGTATTTTTATTTTTCATGTACCTATAGGCATTTGTAATGGATACATTAAATCAGAAGGCTAAACTCAGTAATAATAAATAGTGATATACAAATAATATAGATTCCTTGAAGCTAGAATTTAAAACTTTTTGTGTAATTTCATAATGGCTTAGCACTTTCTGTTGTAGGATACTTATATATACTAGTTGATGGATGAATATTTCTTTAATTAATCATAGAAAATACAAATATTCTTTAGCAAACTCTTAAGTCTCTTGATAAAAGTTAGTATTTTTAGTTGCTGGACATGTACATTATTTTCCTAGTCTCTAAAGTACAGGTTTAGAGATGGTTATTCTTGAAGAAATGATCAGATTCTTGTACTACTTATTTTAAAAGTGTGAGTTCCTCTGTTACTTGCTAATCTGTTACTCATTATCTCATGTGTCTTGAGAAAAGTACTTAGAAATGTGGTTTTGGGTCCTTAAACAGGGAAAACTGAGTATTAGTGTGTCATCTGGAGAAAATCTTTTAAGCTTTCTATCTGACTTGAGTACACTACCTGTAGGCAGAAAGTTAACAGTCTAAATTGGTGAGATAGAGTTTACTGAATTCTTACTGTGGGTAAGATATTTTGCTGCCTGCTTAACATGGTGTCTGTCTATTTGTGGCTAGCCATCAGGCAGAAATTTTTACCTTTGTTCTGAGTAACAATGTGTTGATTAACTCTTGGGGATTAGGAGAGACTAATATTCTAGCAAAGGAAGCAGAAAAAAACGCCCTGAGCTTTATTCATTACCATGCTGAAATATCCTCACACAGAATTTTTTGTAGCAAAAGACTTGGATAAAACATTTTAGGACATGCTTTTGCAGTCACTTTCAGAGCCAAAAAACTTTTTTTCATCCAGAGGAATTAATCTGCTTTTTTCCCCCTACTTGTTCTTGGTATGATGTAAATGAATCTTTTGTTTACTTGTTTGTAACTTTGATTTTAAAATCATAATAATCGTGAAAATTAAAATAGAAGTATATGTAAATAAAGGAACTCTGTCCATTTATCCACTTGTTATTCCCAGATGTAGACCTTTAAAACAAGATAATACAGTATGTGCTCTTTATATATGAAATTTGATAACATTTGTTTCTCATGTATGAGACTTTTCTGTAATATTCTGTGACTTGCCATCTTAGAATACTTGGGAACCTTCCTACATCATTGAAGATAATCCTATTTCATCATTTTTAACCACTGTGTGTATTTGTTAATCAATATTTTTTAGTTATTTAGTTGTTTCCTATTAATTTGCTTGTAAGATATTCCAGGTTTTTGCTGCAACAGACAATATTGTAAGAAACATCCTTATGTTTGTGCATAGTTAGTGTTTTTTCTATGGGACTGAGTTCAAGAATTGAAATTACTAGACAAGAGTATGTGAATGTTAAATTTTTATATGTGCTGCTAGAATGTCTTCCAAAATAGTGCCAGTTCACAGTGCCATCTCTTGTGAGAGTTTCCATTTTTCCGAACACTTTCCAGTGCTGCATATGATTTATTGGACTTACTAATTTTTCCCGTGCTAATGAAGCAAATAAAGGAATCTTGTTTTTATTTGCATTTCCTTTATTATTATCAAAGGTTAACACTTTCATGTGTTTTAGCCATTTATGTTTATCTAATGTGAATTTTCTGTTCTTCATGTATCTATTTTTTCCTTATTTATTTTGTGTCTGTTATTCAGGATATTAATCTCATTATGTATGTGTATGTCTGTATAAAGTGGAGCGTGTAGCTCATGCTCCTGAGTGTGAACCTGAGAGAGCAGATACTTGTCTTACAATGTCTCATGTCTTTTATCATTTAAATTTTTCATTTTTTAATGATACATTTATGGCTAATAATTTTGTCTTACATAGGAAAGATTTTTTATACTCCCAAGATTATTTTTTAAAAAGTAAATTTTTGTTTTACTTTTGGATCTTTAATCTTACCTTTTAAGACTTTTTCCCCAGAAGGTTACCTTTCATTGTTGCAGTATCTACCTACCAACTAGTCTGTCTTCTCCTCACTAATTTGAAGTATCTCCTTTTCTGTATATACTAAATTCCTTTATGCACATGGCTCAGTTCTAATTTATTGTATCTCACTGCTTCTATCACAGTATGTAAATTATAGTTTATAATGTGTGCCCCTTTCTTTTGCAAAACTTGATTGATAGTAAGAGCATGGATTCTTGAACAAGATTTTTTGGAGTTTGAATCTCTGTCCCACCAGTTTTTTGCTTTGTGACCTTAGGCAAGTTTTTTAACTTCTTTCAGCCTCAGTTTCTCCATCAATATACTAGAGAGGATGATAACACCTACCTCAAAGAATTATAGTGAGGGTTAAATAATTTTGTGTAAAGCCCTTAGAACCGTGCTTGGTGCGTAATCACGTGTATTCAGTTCTTTTCTATACTTCAGTGACATACAGTTTTCCTCAAGATTTTGAATGTTTCTTGTTTTTTTTGGACTATTCTATACTTTTTGTTATTATGGATAGCAACTTCTTTCATTACATTTTTCTAAGTGATTATTGCTAATATTATGGAAAGCTCTTGATTTTATATATTGATCTTTCTGAAATTTCTTAATATCAGTAATAGTTTATACATTATACTCATGTATCATTACATTATACATGATACTCTTGATTTACTAGGTAAATTATTATATGTACACAATAATAGTTTTATTTCTTCTTTTGCAGTATTTTTCCTCTTTTTTTTTTCTCTTTGGCTAGGAGTGGAGAATAGCATTGAGTGGTAATGTATCAGGCATTACTATCTTTCTGTGTTTTACCCTTAAGTAGAGTATTTGTTGAGATTTCTGCTTGACATATGCATACATAGTTACATACATATTTACACTGTTCTGTCCAATCTTGCTGTCAGTTAATGTTTGATATTGAAAGAATTCGAAAGTTTTCCCCCTTTCTGCATAGTGTTTGTTAATTAACCTCTTGAAGTTGTGTAAGAACCTGCCCATTAAGCCATCCAGTTTGATATGAGGAAAGGGAATAAAGGCTTTTCAACTGCTTTGTTAGAGCATTCGTTTCTTTCAGGTATTCTGCTGCTGCTTGAATCAATTTTAATAGCATTTTCTGAGGAAATTAGCCTTTCATCTAGCTTTTTACACTCTTGGCATAAAATTGAACTATATATATCATGGTGTTAAGTCTCTACCGCTATGTCTTTATTGTCGCTATTGTCTTTTCTCCTCTCCCCTCAATTCCTCTCTTCCCTGTCATATTTGCCAAAGTTGTCTATTATGTTAGTTTTTTCAGAGAGTTAGCTTTAATTTTATCAAAAAAGCCTTATTTTTCTTTTTTCTTAATTTTTGCTTTTATTACTGATGTTAGTTAAAAATTTTTTTTTAATTGAGATAGAATTGTAGAATTGACATGTAACATTGTATTAGTTTCAGGTGTACAGCATATTGATTGAATATTTGTGTATATTGCTAAATGTTCACCCTATTGAATCTAATTAACAAACATTACCACACAGTTTTACAGTATTTCCCCTTCTATTTAGTTTTTCTCAGTTTTCTTTTGTTTGAATTAATTGAGCTTAGTTTATTTTCAATTTCTAATATATAGACTTATAGTTATAAATTTTCTTCTGTGTATTATATTGACTGTAGCTGGTGCTTTTAGCTACGTTTTCCTCTACCCATTGCATATTTCTTTCGTTTTCTGAGCAAGCATCTCAGCTATTTTATTTTCTTGGGTTCGTGCCTCACTGTAAGAGTTGCTGAGTCATATGGTAAACTTATCTTTTTAAGAAACTGCCAAACTCTTTCCTAAGTGGCTATACCATTTTATTGTCCCATCAGCAGTGTTTGAGGGTTCAAGTTTCTATATTTCCTCACCAACCTTTGCTATTGTTTCTTTTTTTGTAAATAGCCGTTCTAGAGGATGGTGTGAAGTAGTATCTCATTTTGGTTTTTTTTTGTATATATATATATTTATATTAAAGTATGATCAGTTTACAGTGTTTTGTCAGTTTACATTGTGGTTTTAATTTGCATTTCTTTAATGACTAATGACGTTAATTATCTTTTCATGAGCTTATTAGCCATTCCTGAATCGTTCTTGGTGAAATAGCTATTTAAATATTTTGCCCAATTTTTAATTGGGTCATTTGTCTTACTAAGTTGTAAGAGTTTTCTTAAAATATACTGTGGATACATGTCCCTTATCACATATGATTTGTAAATACTTTCTCTTAGTTTGTATTTTCATTTTCTTTTCTTTTTAAAAAATTTTTATGAACAAATGTATTGTGGTATAATTTCTGTATGGTAAACTATGCATTTTTCAGATGTATAATTTGATGGATTTTGATACATGTATATATGAAACCACCACCACAATCAAGAATACCTAACATTTCCATCACTCCCCTATATTTTTATTTTTTAAATGGGGTCTTTTTAAAAAAAATTGTGATAAGAACACTTAAGAGCTGCCCTCTTAAATTTTTAAGTGTATAATACATTATGGTTGTCTATAAGTACAGTGTTGTACAGCAGATCTCTAGAAGTTAATCATCTTGCTTAATGCCCATTAATTAGTTGCTCCTCATTTCTCCCTCCTTTCTGGCAACCACCATTCCACTCTTTAATTTTATGAATTTGACTATTTTAGGTATATCATATAAGTGGAATCATACAGTATTTGTCTTTCTGTGACTGGCTTATTTCACTTATCATAATGTACTCAAGATTCATCCATGACGTTGCACATCGCAGAATTTCCTCCCTTTTTAAGGCTGAATAACATTCCATTGCTTGTATATATCACATTTTATCCATTCAGCTGTTGTGGAAACAACCTAAATGTCCATCATTTTGGCTATTGTGAATAGTACTGCAATAAACATGGGAGATACTGATTTCAGTTCTTTTGGGTGAATGTCTGGAAGTGAGATCATATGGTAGTTCTATTTTTAATTTTTTGAAGAACATCTGTACTAGTTTCCATAGTCGCTGCACTATTTAATATTCTCTCCCGTAGTGTACTGAGTTGTTTGGAAGAATATCTCTACAAACATTACTCAGCAAGTAGTTTGCTTGTGGTTACCCATTTGCTGCTGATTTTTAATGCTACTGCATTGTGATCAGATAACACTGTATTAATCTCTACCTTTTGGAATTTATTGAAGTTCTTTTTTTTAATCTTAGTATATGATTATTTTATGAATGTTTTATGAATTTTTGAAAATAATATATATTCTTTCTTGGCACCACGTTTTGTCATTTCGATTAAATCAGCCTTGATATAGTTCGTTATTCAGGTTCTGTGCATCCGTCCTATTTTTGGTCAGTTTGGTAATTTTGGTTTTGATGTTCTTATACAAGTCTCCCACAGTGATTGTGCATGTGTTAGCATTTGTTAATTTCCTCTTTTCTTTTTAATAGTTTTTGTTTTCTGCATCTCAGTGCTATGTTATTAAATGCATTCCTATTGTCTTCTTAGTAGATTGTTCCACTTTAAATAGAAAATATCCATTGTTCTGTTTAATGTTTTTCTCTTCCCTTTTGACTTTGAATTTTATTTTGTCTGGAATTTAAATTGTGAATCTTGTTTCTTTTCCTTATCATTTGTCTGATTTATCTATCCTTTTGTCAGACAAGTCTTAAGTGATATGATATCCCTAATGTGCTATGGCTAGAATATTATAATTTAACTGTATAATACACATTTAAATCATGATATAGTCATCTTAGTAGAGGAAAATCTTACTTGGCAGAATTATTTTAATATAGCTTTTTTTTTTTTAAAGATGGTCTGGATTTCTATTATTCCTCAAAACAACATGCTCAGAAGATGGTAGAATTTCTCCAGTGTACGGTTCCCACTAGGTATGTTCTGAACCTTCATGTGATTAAATCCAGGGAGCTTGGAGTGAATTTAAAATAGGTCACATCCATTCTCCAGGCTTAAGCAACTTATCTCAAAATATTTAAAATTATACTAAGAATACTTACACAGTTAGAAGCATTTACTGGATTAGCCACTTTAAGGGAAGCATTAAACCAAAGAGCATTAAGAATCTCTTTGGGAAGCTAGACTGTGATAGTAAGCCCTGTAGTTCTGAACCACTGATTGAACATATTTAAATAAGAGAAAAGAAAATTGGGGGTAGAGGACTATGGGGAGAAACTTCATGGAGGGTGAAGGACTTAAGATCTTAAAATGGGAAATTTTCAAAAGTAGAGTTTATATTGGAACATGAGATTAGTGTAAATGAAGATGGAATGGGCATTAGTGTTGCTTTTAATGGATGCTATATATAGACTAGATTGATCTAAGCCAAGGGAGTGTTTTGTAGGTTTTTAGTAGATAAAGTTGAAAATAGGTAGGGTGCAGTAGATTAGTGAGGGTTTTTAAATGAAATAGATAAAATTAGCTTTATCATACACAGCAGGCATCAGGAAGCTATTTCAGACCTCAGGCAGTGATGATTTGATTTAATGAAAGTTTATATTCCCGAGACTACACAAGTAAGCACCTTTGTCTTTTATTATGGCTAACTTTTTCTCTTAACAGATACAAAGCTTCACAGAGACTCATCTCTCAGGATATCCACAGTAACACATACAATTACAAAAGCACTTTTTCTGTGGAAATTGTTCCAATATGCAAGGTAATTTTCCTCATTTAATTAAACCATGTCTTTCTTATGAAAGAGTACAAGTAAAATTAATTGGTTTATATGTAATTATTAGCTCCTGATTTCCTTCTGGGATTGGTTAAGCATTTATAGTAACCTCTTTCTTAAATGATTTCTGACACATTTTTAGGCATGTTAAAAAGATGTTTGAAAGTAACCATGCTTAAAATTATAAATTTTTGGTGTACAGTTCTTTAACTATAAATATAACTTTTAATTATGAATCTTTGGTGTGCAGTTCTTTACCATGTACATTCCTTAAAATTTGTGATCCTAGTGGACACATACAGTTCTATGAAACTATGAATACAGGAAATGACTTTAAGATAAATATCTTAACACTTTGTGGAATGTGTTCAAACTGGATTTTGGCTTGATAAAATTAAATAGTATTGTGAAAATGAGATCATAGAATTATTTTTGTGATTTTAAAAATATAATCTGAGTAACACTTAAAATGTAGATTGTCATTTCATTAATTTTACTAAGGTAAAAACCCTGCTTCAAAAAATAGAAATGAATTAAAATACAATGAATAGTTATTGAGGATCTATTGTATAGAAGGCTGTTTGTTAAGGATTATATACTAGAGGTCTCTGCCAAGTAGGAATGTGTCCGTATTTAAATCATTAGTAATGATAAGTGCCATAATTTGTAGTGAGCATTCTACATAAAGTTTTTATCTGAGTACTTAAGTATATTTCACCTCTTCATGTCTCACAACAACTGGTGTATCATCATATCATCATTTTGAAGATGAGGAAATTGAAGCTTAAGGAGGTTAGATGACTTGCCCAAAGTTACGTAACTACAGAATGATGAAACAGGATTTGTGTCTAGGTTTGTGACTCTAAGGCTTTAAAGCTGTCGTCACTAATCTATGGTGTAGTACAGTATCAGGGATGAAATGATGGCGTAAAACAGTCAGCAGATTTTTTTCTGGAAAGAACCAGAGAGTAAGTATTTTCAGCTTTTAAACTATGGAGTCTGTTTTGCAATCACTCAGCTGTGCTGCTGTTGCACAAAAGTAACCGTTGATAATAGATAAATGAAGGGTTGAGGCTGTGTTCCAGCAAAACTTTATTTACAAAAATTTGGCCTAAGGGTCTTATTTTGCAGACCTCTGGTTTAAAACTAGGAACATTTTCCTGGTACAAAACCGGGGAAATAAGAATTTAGGTGTAAGGGCATATTTAGGCCTTGTGTATTAATTCCTTTCAGTAATTCATACAAGTATCTGAATGAATACATAATATAAAGGAGTATTTTAATTAATCTTTGGAGACTCTTTTTTATTAAGTTTAAAGAAAAAAAAATAGGCTGAACTAGGCCATGAGGGATGCACAAGACTGTCCCTTCAGTGGGGGAGCCTATGATTGTGAATAGATACAACTTAAAATATATCCCAGGTCTTTTTCATGTTTTAATATCAGCTTAAAAACAGATAACCACATTGCTGGTAATCTCTTCTAATGCACACATAGACATATGTGCTTTCTGTGGGGCATTAAATCTTTGATTACATATTGGTACATATAGACAAGAAAGAGAAACATGTGGCTTCTCTGAAATTAATTTTTATAGATATTGAACGAAGTCACAAATCAATTTAGCCAATCACTCTCCTGGTATTTATAATACTTTGCTTAGAATGTACACTGTATTAACATAGAGTGATAAGCAAGCATTCACCTTTCAATAAAATTGAAATAAACTTAACACCTTTGTGATTAGGATCTGAAGTATATTTTTAAAAGCATTTTATTTAAGACCTATATCCCCATCTTAAGAAGGTATAACTTAATTTTTGTTTCTCTAAGGTCTGATTCTTTTTTTAGGCCCTTTGTTGTTACGGAGAATTAAAAATAACATTTTGATTTGGGCAAATGCACCTGGATCAGATTTGCATTGATGAGTGTTTATTGGAGACTGTTATTTAGGATTTCCTTCACATTAAATGTTAGCTTTTATGCCTAGGATAATGTTGTTTGTCTGTCTTCGAAACTGGCACAAAGCCTGGGAAACATGAACCAGATTTGTGTGTGTATTCGAGTAACCAGCGTTATCCACCTCATAGATCCAAATACCCTGCAAGGTAAGTTTTAGGAACTATTTGCCTTGACAGTTCAGTGTAACGAGCAGTAATAACTTGTAGTTGTTGGTAATTTTATCAAGCATTCTCAGTAATAACCATTTTGAAAAACTACTGTGCAGTGTTTAAAAGCACTGGACTTTTTAAAGCTTTTGATAAGTTACCCTTGTATATTTTATTTGGAGAAAGATTTCTGAGAACTTTTAAAATTTTATTAGTTTTATTCTATTTAGTTTTACTGAAATCGACTTACTTATTTACCTCATTTAATTTTTATGACTATTTAAGTTCATTGCCAAATTTTAGTATATAGCAAGTGTTTTAAAGTTTGGAACTTTAGACACTTTGTAATCTGGTAGAATATTTATTTTAAATATGAATTTTTAACTAATTTCATCATTTTTATACCTAATTTTTAACATTCTCTTTATAAAAAAACTATTTTTAAAAGAGACCCCCATGTTGATAGCTGTCTTATTAGTATTTGGTTGTATCTCCTACTTGATCTTTTTCACATGTTTCCTGTAATATGAATTTTCTGTTATAAAACATTGAATTAATTTTGATATTTTGTAGAAAGTCATTCATAATCCATGTCAATTAGAATTATTCATTAAAGATCTGTTTGCAACAGTGTGATGAACATCTGTTAGGTAGAAGAACTTTATTTCCCATAAACTAAGCACCTAAGATGATTGATAATGTATCTGAAATAAAACACCAGCACATGAAACAGCTGTACAACTGATTGGATCTGACCTTATTTTAAAGGCACTTACATTGTGGTGTTCAGATCATAGTAACTACGTACGATATGTTTGACAACTGGTATTTCTCTTGTGCTCTGAGAATTTGGGGCTGATTTATAGGAATAAATGATATCCCCTAGAGTGTGAGTGAACCACTGTGGTTCCTTTGACCTGATGCGTCCCAGTTTGTATATACCAACTACTTCCTAGTTAACACAGTTGATGTCTTTTGAAATATTTAAGTTCTTTTGTTCCATAAAGTTCTATGCTTATTCTTAGTTGCAGATATTGATGGGAACACTTTTTGGAGTCATCCTTTTAATAGTTTATGCCATCCCAAACAGCTAGAGGAGTTTATTGTTATGGATTGCAGCATAGTACGAGATCTGAAACGCAGTGCAGGTGCTGGAATGATATCCAAAAAGGTAATTTACATCCTGCTCACTTCCTCCTAACCCCCAATTTACTCTTCTACTCTCTCTCTCTCTCTTTTTTTATCTTTGGTTTTTTTATTGTTGTTGTTCGTCATTCCAGAATGTTCCAGATAAAGCTAACACCACATTAGGTTAAAAAATGTGTTTGTATGCCATTTGCTTTTAAAATGTGGTCATTGTGGTAAAAACTATCAGATTTATACTGTCTGATAAGTTAAATGTTTTCTCTTTCATATAGGAAATATTATGAAAATTATTATGAAAAATATTATGAAAAAACATTTCTTTTACTTTTGTACAGAAGGACCAAATGACAAGCTAACCTATTTTTACTTCTAAAAAATTTCAAACATTTTGAATTAAATATATATTATCACTAAACACTGACTATTTCAATATGCATCTCTAAAACATAGGTATATTTTCTACATAATCAAAGTATTATCATACATATAAACTATATAGTTTGTTGAATTTCCTTACTTGTCCCAAAGTGCCTTTTATGGTTTATTCAAACCAGTATTTAGTTAGGGACTATTCATTGAATGTGAATGTTGTACTTCTTAAGTATTTATGATACTAACTTCCTAAAGCAATTAGGGCCTTTATCTTGTGGCTTTATCTTATTGTTTCCTCATGATATCATTTAAGTTACTTCTGAATCTTTTGTATTTTCATTAAGCTGGAAAGTGGGTCTGAAGTCTTGCTTGAATTTAGGTTAATTTAGGCAGAACATTTCAGAGGTGGCTGTGTACTTTTTGTGATATATCAAGAGGCAAGCAATGTTTGGCTGTTTGACTTATAGCCAGATCTCTCCATTGTAAATTATGATTTTTCCCCCTGTGTTACTAGCCTGCCTGCCTGCCTTTTTCCTTCCTTCCTTCCACTCAGATTGCCTGAAATGCAGCCAGTAGGAGCCCCTTCAGAATAGTTTCTATGCCCTTTAAAAAATTTTTGTTTAAATGACTTTTCCTTCTTTTGAGCAGTTTTAGATTCACAGCAAAATTAAGAGGTAAAAGATTTCCTACATATCCCTTGCCTCTACACATGCATAGCTTCCGTTTTTAATGCCCTTCTCCCACCAGAGTGGTACATTTGTTCCAGTTGATGAATCTGCACTGACACATTGTAATCACCCAAAGTCCATATTTTACCTTAAGTTTCAGTCTTGGTATTTTCTGTGGGTTTGGACAAATGTATAATGACATGAATCCCATCATTATAGTGTCATGCAGATTATTTTAACTGCCCTGAAAATCTTCTGTGCTTTGCCTATTCATCTTCCCTCCCTCCTAACCACTGACAATCACTGATTTTTTTTTCTTAATACTCTCTCTCCAATTTTGCTTTTTCCACAGTGTCATACAGTTGGTCTCATACAGTCTTTACAAATTGCCTCTTTCACTTAGTAATGTGCATTTAAGATTCCTACATGTCTTTTCATGGTTTGATAGCTCTTTTTTGTTTTTGTTTTTTTCTTTAATGCCAAACAGTGTTTTATTGTTTCAGTGTACCAGTTTACTCATTCACCTACTGAAGGACATCTTGGTTGCTTCCAATTTTTGACAATTATGAATAAAGTTGCTGTGAACATCCCTTTGCATGCTTTTGTGTGGGCATGTGTTTTCAGCTTCTTTGGGTAAATACCAAAGAGCATGTTTGTTGCATTGTTTGGTAAGAGTATGTTTAGTTTGTAAGAAAGTGCCAAACTGTCTTCCAAAGTGGCAGTATCATTTTGCATTCCCACCAGCAATGTTCCTCTTGTTACACATCTTCACATTTGGTGTTGTCAGTGTTTAGGATTTTGGCCATTCTAATAGTGTGTGTTAGTATCTTACTGTCATTTTAATTTATATTTCCCTGAAGACACGATGTGGGGTATTTTCCATATGCTTTTTGCCATCTGAATGTCTTTGGTGAGGTGTCTGTTAAGATCTTTGGCTCATTTTTTAATCAGGTTGTTTGTTTTCTTACTGCTGAATTATAAGAGTTATTTGTAAATTTTGGATAATAGTCCTTTGTTAGATGTGTTTTTTTGCACGTATTTTCTCCCAGGCTCGTTTATCTTCTTACTCTCTTGACATTGTCTGTCACAGAGCAGAAATTTCTAATTTTATTGAAGTCCAGTTTATCAACTATTCTTTCATGGATCCTGCCTTTGGTGTTGTATCTAAATAGTCATTGCCAAACCCAAGGTCAGCTAGATTTCTCCTTTGTTATCTTCTAGGGGTTTTATAGTTGTGTATTTTACACTTAGGTCTGTGATCCATTTTGAGTTAGTTTTTGTGATGGATGTAAGGTTTTTGTCTAGATTGATTTTTTTTTTTTTTGGCTTGCTGATGTCCAGTTGTTCCAGCACCATTAGTTGAAAACACTGTCTTTGCTTCATTGTATTGCTTTTGCTCCCTTGTCAAAGATCAGTTAACTGTATTTATGTGGGTGTATTTCTGGGCTCTCTGTTTTGTTCCATTGATCTATTTGTTCTTTAGTCAGTACCATACTGTCTTGCTTACTGTAGCATTATAGTAATTCTCGAAGTTGAGTAGTGTCAATCCTACAACCTGTTCTTCAGAATTGTGTTGACTATCCTGGATCTTTTGCCTCTATGTACAAACTTTAAAATCAGTTGTCAATATCCACAAAATAACTTGTTGAGATTTTTTTAAATTGAAATCTAGTTGATGTACAATAGTATTTTATTTTCAGGTGTACTACACAGGTGGTATGAGTTTTGCATCTATTATGAAATGATCACCATGGTAAGGACTAGTAACCATTACAGAGTTATTACAGTATTATTGACCATATTCCTTGTGCTGTATGTTACACCTTCATGGCTTAACTTGTTAGGATTTTGATCAGAACTGCTTGAATCTTTAGATCAAGTTGGGCAGAACTTACATCTTGACAATATTGAGTTTTCCTGTCGATGAACATGGAACATCTCTCTGTTTTAGTTATTTTATTTTGTTCATCAGACTTTTGTAGTTTTCCTCATAGAGGTCTTACACATATTTTGTCAGATTTACACCTTAGTATTTCATTTTTTGGGGTGCTAATGTAAATTATATTTTTAAATGTCAAATTCCACTGTTTTCATGTTGGTATATAGGAGAGTGACTGACTTTGGTTTATAACCTTGTGTCCTGTAATCTTGCTATGTTCCAGGAGTTTTTTTGTCCAGTCAGATCTTCTTTGTAGATGATCATGTCATCTGCAGCGATAATTTTATTTTTTTCTTCTCAATCTATATACCTGTCATTTCCTTTTCTTGTCTTTTACATTAGCTAGATTTTCCAGTAGGATATTCAAAATGTGCAGTGAGAGGGAACATTCTTGACTTGTAGGATCTTAGTGGGAAATCTCCAAGTCTCTCACCTTTAAGTGTAATGTTGGTTAAGTTTTTTTTTTTTCTTAAGTAGATATTCTTTATCAGGTGAAGGAAGTTTCTCTCAATTCCTAGTTTACTGAGAGTTTTTATCATGAATGAAGGTTGGATTTTGTTGCATGCTTTGTCTTTATGTGTTGATACCATCATGTGATTTTGTTTGTTTGTTTGTTTTCCTTTTTAGCGAGTTGATGTGATCGATGGGTTTTTCAAATGTTGAACTAGCCTTGCACACATAGGTTAAATCCCACTTGGTCATGGTGTACAATTCTTCTATATTTTGTTGAGGATTTTTGAATCTGTGTTCATGAGAGATTGGTCTGTAGATTGTTTCCCTTGTAATGTCTTCCGTTTTGGTTTTAGGGTAATGCTGGTTTTGTAAAAAAGTTAGGAAGTATTCCCTCTGCTTCCATCTTCTGGAAAAGACTGTAGAGGAATGGTATAATTTCTGCCTTAAATGTTTGATACAGTTCACCAGTGAATCCATCTGGGCCCAGTGCTTTCTGTTTTGAAAGATTATTAATTATTGACTCAAGTTTCTTTAATACATATCAGTCTATTCCTGTGTCCTTTTTTAAAAATTGAAGTATAGTCAATTTGCAATTTTCATTATAGGCCATTACAAAGTATTGAATATAGTTACCTGTGCTATACAGTAAGATTTCGTTGTTTATCTGCTACCTATGTTGTTCTTTTGACATAACTTCTCTAGTCTTTGAAAGCATTCTTTCTGGCACACCACCACATCATTTAGGTGTTCCAAAATCACATTGTATAGTTCTTACCCCGTATCTGAAATTAGGTATTTCTTCAAGGATGTTAAGTCTGATTTCTTTTCTGCTGTGAAATAGTATTTTGAGGTCCCCCCAAACTGGATACTAACAGTGCTCATTTCTTTTGAGGTAATTTTGTCTTGAGACAAAACTAACCTCTGATAATTTGGGGGAAATCAATGGAAATGGAAAAATTAATTACTTTTCATATTTTTATTTAAAAAATTTAATAATATGATTAAGAGCAAACTTCTTATCTTTTAAGCATCACTTCTCAGGCATATATAAAATGAGATATTATACTTTCTTTGCTTTCAGAAAATGCATTTAGCTAGAATTTAGTCTTTCCCTGGTGATTCACATGTATTTA